AGAAGGACATCGACCACAAGTTCCTGGCCCTCGTGCTGGGCGAGTGTGGCTGGGACGCCGACCATATGGACCACGACAATACGGTGCTGGACGATCGGATCAATCACCACTCCGACCACATGCTCGCCTCACTTCCCTACGGCAGTCCCTTCGCCTGTGGGGTGATTTGGCATAACGCTATCACTCTTCTCCGGTATAAGCCGGAGAAGCACAAGTACGCTCGTTGCACGGCCCACGGCCAGAATATTCTGGATGTGAAGTACGAAGCCGCAACTATTGACAGTTGGTTCCATCGGCTGAAGAAGAAATGGAGGCCCGAGACCATCCCTAAAGGGAGAAGCGGATTCGACACCTCGCGACTTCGCGCGAAGTCGTATTCCCCAGATTACTATTAGATAAGAGTATACCGAATGACACGAGAACGCGCAGGATAATTGCCGGCGCAGTGAGAATTAAAACCCCACCGGAGTTGATAATTGTGTCGCTCTCCGTAGAAAGCAGTTAATGTTCTGTAATGAACAGTTGTCATCATAGCTAATAAAACTGACCATCGTAGGGTACTGCCTTGGTGTATGAGTTATTGTATTGGCTCACACACTGCGTAGGAGCCGAGGGTGGCTGCATCCTCGGACGGTTTTGTCGCATAAATTCATGGCCGATATTGTGTGACGACCTCGGAAGATGGCATAACAGAAGTCACGCTAGTCCTGCCGTCAGATAAGCCCAGAGTCCGGCAATAAACAGACTCATGAAGGGCCAAAGGCCATCACCAGCGATTAGAATTGACTCGACCCAAAACCAGTGTTCGGATCGGTCGGTATCTCCCCAAAAGATTGGTCATCACCTAGAAGCATCAAATTGTCCCAGTAGCGGTCGAAGAAATCCGCAGCGTCGGTAGGAGGATTGAATTGAGCATGTTGAGCCCCGACATTCTGTCCCAAATAGAACGTGGCATCCATCAGGTCGACATCGAATGGGGTACCCTGAGGACTCTGACTCTGGCTCGGTGGCGAAGAGAAGTGAGGAGGCATGAGGTCGAGTTCAGCAAAGGCGTTGGTCACTCCATAATCCACGGGGGCCAAGGAAGGTGCATCCGTGCCAGGTGTTGCGCCGTGTTGTAGGTGGGTGTTGGCCACATTCAGCATGATCCGCAAGGCTTCTGCAGTTTTTAATGCCTCCTTGGATTGATGGCGAAGGCAGTTCCAAATGTTGTAGGATCGCTCGAGCTCATGGGAAAGTTCCTGTCGTTCTACCAATATGGCCTGCCTTGCATTGGGTGACAGGCTCTGCTGGAGGTCGTGTCTCGATTGACAGGAGATCTCTAGTGAGACAATCATTGCCGCTGTGCGAAAATGCATAATCACACATGACGAGAAGAAGAAGGAGGCATAGTTTAATTGCCCACCCGGTGAACTCTCGTTGAAAATATCGGACTGATGTTGCAGGACCCTTCTGGCCGCATCCAAGCACTCCCGGCGCGAATATGCGTACTTGGGATTTAGACGATGCTGGGTAAGATATCGCCGATGAAGGTCTGAGCGAGCCTTCTGATACATGAGATCAATATTATATCGGTCCATAATCGTAGTGGGGGGGTCTGCGATAGACTCGCTCGGCGAGCGAAACCGCAAAGGTGGTGGGATGTTGGCGTGTAGGCCTCGCAGCTTTGCATCCAGCTCAAGCACCTCCTGGTAGGGAACTCCTTTGACCGAGCAAACTTTGCGGGCAATGTCGGCTCCCGCAAACATCACCCGATTGAGAGCGACCGGGAAAAGAATCAGAGTTTTCTCGGTCGAAGGCCTGGAAGCAGGTAAGGTCGTGGCCGCAGGATCCAGATCGTCATCTGTTAGATTTCTCGGCTCCAGGGTATCGGATTGCGCCTGCGCGGTGGTGGGGGGAAGGCCAGCCTGACACGAGATGTAGTGGTCTAGGAGACAGAGATACATCCAAACCCGACGTCGCATTTCGCCGTCAAACACCGAGATCTCGCGATAATGTTTAGGATCGCGATGGTAGCCGCTATGAATAGCCAAGCGAGTGGCCACGCCCAGCAGGATAGATGGCCCGACGTGGGTGTCGGTGCTTCTGAGAATCTCACAACATATACTCAATATGAGAGTCTCCAATTTGTATCGTCCCGGTCTCGTATACTCCGCCATGGTGAGACATTGCGACGCCAAGCGGAAATACTCATCGAATGCTTCTGCAAAATGACCCTCCGCCCTGCCAGCCGTGGTGAACAGATGCAGTCCAGCGGCCGCACTGAGGATGGTGTAGAGATAGGCTAGCCAACTAATGGATGCGCTCTGAGGGTTCTTCCAGAAAGCAGTATACTTTGCCGCGGATTAGGATGCATGAGTCGGAATGGGGGACAGTCTCCAGTGGCTTACCTCTCGGGTGAATGTTGGAGTATGTATAAGCACTGAGACGCGTTAGGATAGATCCGACCTTACGTTTTGGAATGATACTCACCCAGAGGAGACTCCTTCGAATTCAAATAGGCCGATATCAACCTGTCTGCCATGGATCGAACAGGCAAAGCGGCGAGGAGCTCCGAGATAGTTGAGGAAATGGAGTTTCCGAATAGCAGTACAGGACCCGAAACAGCCGGGACTACATCCTCCTCTTCCACCTCCTCGGGAGAAGTATTCCCGTGCATCTGAAGGAACTCCTTGACCTCGGCAATCTGGCCAGGGGATCAGTCAATATGAGGAGATTCGTACAATGGTCGGTGAGCCCCTGCTTACCTCGTCCAGCACAGCTTGCCAATGCGTTGGATTATGGTAGCTTGTACCATCTTTTTCAATTAAGATAGTGCCTGGGAACTCTGCCTGGGGTTCGCAAATAGGTTCCGCTGTATGAGTCAGGGACTGGGGTTCTGCTGGCAGCAGGCCTGAGGTCCAAGCAATGTCTGCAGGGAGCTGTTGTGGTGGTTGCGGTGGTTGCTGTGCCTGAAGCAAGGGGTTCCCATTCGACAACTGCTGCACACGGGCCTCAAGTTTGTGAATATAGTACTGGATGTCATGAGAATCCCCGGGCGAGACCCCCTGGGGACCCACAAAGTGGCACATCTCAGCCCGGCGGTGTTTGATGCAGTTGTCACACGGGTGGATGCGATTACATTTCAACCTGGGATCGGGAGAGTCAGAGAGTCAAAGAGGGAAGAGGGTCCAGTGGGGAAGCCGATGGGGCAGCAGGGGCTGGAGCTGGGACTAGCACACTTTTTCCGACGGCAAGGAACACAGGAGAGTTTGGGTCTCGGCTTTCTTTTTTTCACCGACGGGGGGTGGAGGGGAGGATTGTCTCCATTGCCAAGTATAGCGTCCATGGTGTATCTACAGTGCAGTGTAGTGTAGTGTACGTAGCCACCTTGAAGGCAATGAGGGGAATGAATGAATACCTCCAGGAATAAGTCCGTGTAAGACGCGCTAAGACGCGGGGATATTTTGGCGGACGGCGGCTGACTCAGCCATCTATCCACCGCCCCATCCGCGGAATCTAACCCCTTTCCGTCTAGCGCCGGACATTTTGGCGTCTAGTGCCGGATTTACCTCAGTTTGTCCCGTTTGTCCCGTTTCCAAGTTGTCTACTTTGTCCTCCACCTCCTCCATCATCGTCATTCCATTGAATGCCCTCCAGACAGACAGTCCCTCCCTCCCTCTCATACCTTACTTATCCTTATATATAACTAGTTCATCCGGATCGTTGCTCATCATGACTTTCAAGAAACCCGAATCATCGCATCTCTTCTACCTCGCACATCTTGCACATCTTGCACAGCTTGCACAGCTTGCACAGCTTGCACAGCTTGCACCCAGCGGTTGAGACATGACCCTGCTCGCATCCTCTATCTCTCGATCGCTCCCGTACAGCCTCATGACCTCATACTCGGAGTTTTTGTCGTGGGATCCAGAGATGGTCGATCTCTTGGACATTGATCCCAGGTTATTTCCACCCTCGTGTTATGCGGATCTCGACTCGATCCCTACTGTCTCCCTCATGCCACATCCCCCCTTTGAAGGACAAATCTCGAACACCAGAACGATCGACGCCACGCTAAGTCGGTCGGCCTCCCCGATGAGCAGCCATAATTCCTTCCTATCGCCTGAATCCTATCCCATCCACGACCTTGGCCATCGCTCGCCCCTGCCTCAGACCTCCGTTCCGGCAGCCACAGCCGGACCCTCCCAATCGACGACCACCACACCCCCTCGACGAGGGACCAAGCGAGCACGGTCGCATTCATTCACAGAAGAGTCCACGGGGAGCGACAACCTCTCGTCTCAAGACTCAGAGGAGGAGCGCATCCAGGAGAAACGGCGGCGCAACAAGATGGCTTCGCGGAGGTTACGCCAGCGACAAGTCGAGCATGTCACCGACCTGGAGTCTCGGCTGGGTCGAGTGACTCGCGAGCGTGACGATCTGCGATTACAGCTCGCCAAATGGGAAGCGGAAGTCACGGTGCTGAGGAAACTCGTCGGACAGAAGATGGACTGATGCTATTAGGGACGGGCTTGATGATTTTTGCGGCTTAGTGGAGCGTTCCCGCGAGCATTCTTTTCTAAATCTTTTATATACCCAGGATTATAGAGTCATCATATCCACTTTTTATTTGCCGTGTTTTCCGGCCCTTGGCTCGCAGCAAGTAACTGTGCGCTTTGATCACGTTCGATCACGTGTCATACTATTCGCGTCGTGGTCTCGATGACCTCACCGGAGTAGGAGATAACCTAGCCTCATCTCTTGAATTCCTCGTACCGTGTCTGCAGACCTATGACGTTCATGATGATCACTCATCTACATCGCAGGAGGGTCTGTACTATGTCTTTCTCCTTCGGACATCCATGCTCTGCTAGCTTATCGATCGGCCAGCAACTATATATCTTCACCCATCCGGGCCACATTCCCGGTGTGCCGCAAAACTCACCAACAATTATCATCCATCGTTACTCCCGAGACGGGTTCATGAACTTTGTGTTAGAGTGAACCAAGAAGGTGATTTCATGAAGCTACATTAGCTACTCTGTAGCAAGCCATTACAAACAAAACGCCAACATGCCAAGACGCCACCGCAATCCATTTCAAGCCCTTTTCGCATGATGTTATTGACCGAGATTCAATCCCAGATCCAGCCCCAGGTCCATGCCGAGGTTCAGTTGTAATTCTGCCTCCGCCGCATCGTTGGCCTGCTTAAGGGCAATCTGGCGTTCCTGCTCATCGGGCGGAAGTGCGGCAAAGGCGGCGGTGTTCTCGTCCCACGCGCGCACACACTCCTTGTTCCAATTGCACTTCTCCACCTCTCCGTACACTGGATGGCTGAAGCGAGGGTGGTTCGAGGGCCAGTTGGAGGCATGATAATGATGTTTGACGAGGGCCGTTCGGGCGTTGTGGTTGCCCGAGTCGGAATGGCCCTGGCCGGCGGCGAAGGCCTCGACGGTCAGGACCAGGATCCCCCCCACGAGCTTGGATTCGGGGATATTGTGGAAAGTGTTCCAGCTCACTTCGTGGCCTAGTCGGATGCTCATCTCTGCCAGCACGGCCGAGGTGAATGCGGAGGGTCCCGTGCCGCTGATCACGTCGTCAAAGTCCAGCTCCAGCTCGCCGATGGGTTTACCTTGCTGAACCGACAGCTCATGTAACCAAGCCAGAATGTTGTCAACCAGCCGCATCATCACCGGGTGGCGGGGCTTGCTCATGAAAGTCCATTGGCAGAAGGACTGCGATTTCTGGCCCAAGATTGCATGGTCGTTGAACTCGGGCTCGTCAATCTCCACCCCGATGACCAGATCCATCTCGTCCTCAGTAAATCGCTCGGGGATAAATCGGTCCAGCGGGCGGAGGGCTTCCACGTCAATGTCCGCCCAGATTCCCCCATCAACATACATAATCAAGTATCGCAGAAGATCGGCCTTGATGATGCGCGCGTTCAGCGACCGGTAGACTTCGACAATGTCCGGTCGGTTCAACCCTTCCGGCCCATAATGGGTTTCGACATAGTAGAGGTCATTCTCGTCGGTCAGCACCTCGTACCGATGGCGGGGATTCTTCTCCGGCCAGCTTCGAGCAACCAGGAGATCTCGTGGCTCGAAAGCCAGAGGGTTGACTTTCCACGATTGCCAGATCTTCCGGGGAAACTGCTTATAGCGCGCGGTGGGCCCGGAGAGGCTGCCATTGACCTCGCCAAAGGTCCCGGTGAGGGAGAGGTAGAAGACCAGCACGAAGGCAGAGAAGAAAACAGGGGCTACTCGACGGAGGTGGCGTGGCAGGAAGACGCCAGACAGAGGGGTGTTTGCCTGCATTCTGTCGAGCGAGACGAGCAGAGACACAGGCAACGAGGAGAAGTGAGTGAAAAGTGGTGGTGCTCAGGGGGCAGAAAGGGCGTGGGCTGATGGTCTGGACGTTTATGAGGGGAAACCGCACGGTGACGAGAATGCTTCATATGCGTCAATTGCAGTCGCTAAGCTCTCTTAGCTGCGCTAGGGTCCTCAATGGGACCCAACTGAGCCAGCCATGGAGCTAATCGATTGGCGTAGCACTGATGGACCCAGGATGATCGTATTCAAACCATTCGGAGGTTCTTGGGGGTAAAAGCCTCGGGTGGCTTACTGACGGCGGCCTGGAAGGGGAAATGGCTCCGAGACATGTGGTTTTCACACGACCAGGGCAGATTGTCAGCGAGGAGACTAATCTTGGAAGACCCTCAACCTGTTCACCCCCCCCCCCCCCCTCCCCCCCCGGTCGATCGCTCCGCTTAGTCGGAGTTCGGTTGTTTTTGCGGCGGGGGTGACGGGAAGCCCTCATATATCGCACCGCACCACCAGACCACTGCATCGCAGCCAGCTCGACGACCTCAGAAGCTATTCTGGCCATCATGCCAGCGCTCTTACTTTCTCCAATGCACGAAAAGTCCTTGGAAGACGGCGAGTGGAAGTCTTCCCTACTGGAACCGCCGCCCATCCCTAAGTCTCGCTGGATGGAGAGGCTGTGCCCGGAATTTCTATCCCGATCAGACCATGGCCCGGATCATGAAAAATTGCCGACCTCTGCTCCTCGACCTCGACGAACAGCCTACCTAGACGGTCTGCGCGGATTTGCCGCTCTACTGGTGTACTGGGGCCATCATGAACTTTGGGCCCACGACGGGATTGGAGCGGAGCGCATCTTCGAGAACGCGTACGGATATGAGAACCAGCGCTACCTGGTCGCCTTCCCGGGGATTCGCAACTTTTTCTCGGGCGGACATTTCGCAGTCAGCGTCTTCTTCGTGCTCTCTGGCTATGTTCTGTCGGCGAAACCGCTGGCGTTGATCAACGCAGGGGAGCGTGTCGCGCTGAGCGACAATCTCGCGTCAGCTTTGTTCCGTCGCTGGTTGCGCCTCTTCCTGCCCGTTATTGCCACGACCTTCATTTACATGACTTTCCTGCACGTCTTCCACGTGAAGACGGTGCCCGAACTGCAAGGCAGCTATGGCGCCGAGCTCTGGAACTGGTACGCCGAGTTCAAGAACTTCAGCTTCATCTTCCGGGGCGGAGGTGAGCCGTGGTTCACCTACAATTTCCACTCGTGGTCCATCCCGGTGGAATTCCGCGGATCGATCATCGTCTACACGGCGCTGTTGGCCTTCTCCCGCTGTCGCCGATCCATGCGGTTAGCCTGCGAGGCCGGCCTGGTCTTCTATTTTCTTTACATTGCAGATGGCTGGTTCGGAGCATTGTTCATGTCGGGCATGCTCCTGTGCGATCTGGATCAGCTCGCGGCGCGGGACCAGCTGCCCGACTGCTTCGTCATGCTGGAGCCGTACCGCGAGGGGATCTTTCCTGTTCTGCTCGCGATCAGCATGTATCTTGGGGGAGTCCCCTCGCGGAGCTTCGAGGTGCAGATCCTCCGCGAGTCCCCCGGGTGGTACTACCTGTCCCTGTTGAAGCCTCAGGCGGTCTTCGACTACAAGTGGTTCTACCTCTTCTGGGCAGCGACCTTTCTGGTTGCCTCGCTGCCACGCATGCCGTGGTTGAAGCGATTCTTCGAGACCCCCTTCAATCAGTACCTCGGACGGGTGTCGTTTGCCTTCTACCTCGTCCATGGCCCCGTGCTGTGGGTGCTGGGGGATCGGCTGTACGCCGCGGTCGGATGGGCGCGCGATTCACATGCATCGAACTGCCCTGGCTGGATTAACCGACTGCCGTTGCCGCGCGTCGGGCCCCTGGGGTTGGAGGTGAGCTTCCTTGCACCGCAGCTGATCCTGCTGCCGGTGACACTGTGGTTGGCAGAGATAGTCACCCGCTGGATTGACGAGCCGAGCGTGCGAGTAGCGCAGTGGCTGTACCGACGAACGCTGGGAAATGACGCCTAGTCTTAGTCTTAGTCTAAGTGTTAGTCTAGAGTAGCAAGCAGCGATCGATAGCCAGACAGGAATCTTAGTGCGTGGTTTTGCTTCTTGGGTTGCGTGCTAGTTTGTAGGCTCATTTCCGGAATCGGAGACCAACCGCGGGCCAGGAATGGCGCTATTACCGATAGTCCAGCAAGCAGCCGGAGAGGGGAAGAAAATGACAGGAGGAGAGAAGACTGATGCGTAGTGAAGAGTGGGGGGAATCCTCTCGGTCTTACTTCTTCTTTCCCCGGACCCTGGCAATCACCTACGGAGTAGGTAATTTCACATGCTCGACTATCGATGGCGTCGACGGCGTAGACGGCGTGCTGATCACTTCGCATGAAGCCCGAGTTGAAAAGCGGGGAAGAGCTCCGCCGTCAGATTAATTCATGCAATGATTTGATGAATTGAGTGAGTGATTGATTGAATCCCATTCAGGGCCGGGCCGCCCAAGCCTAAAGGGGGAAAAGTTGCAGCTCAGGCCTCCCGCTACTTGTTGAATGCCCCTCTGCCTTCATTCCTTCTGGCTGCAACCCTAATTTATCTCACTCCCACACGAGCCAGACCACTCCTCCCCTCCCCCTCCCCCCCTCCCTTGCTCAGTCTGGGCTGTCTGGTTTCCCTCCTATTCTTCTCATTCTTCTTTGCTCAGGTCGGACAAGTCCAGCCCAAGTTCAGCAAGCAATGTCTGCCCGGCTAATGCGCCTGGTGCCCCTTGCCGGGCTCCTCATGGGACTGCTCCTCACCTTCTACTACCTGTACAGGGGGGTCGCAGCCCCGTCAGCCACTGGCCTGGAGGAAACCACTCAGCACAATAATATCGACCTTTCGCATCTTTCAGACACTCATCACCAAGTCTTTTCCGCATCGACCCCCAACCAGAAATATTTCCACGTTGACTTTGGTGAACGAGATGGCTTCAACCCCAGCATCATCCCCCATCCCGTACTGCAAGACAAATGGATTATCACCGCGCAACTCGCGCGCAATCGCTCGCAGACCGAGCCCCTCTCCGTCTGGAGTGCCGAGCTGGTCTGTACCGCAGCCTTCCAGGACCAAGGTCGCACGCTACGCTGCGTTGACCAGCCTCTCATCCTTCCCATCGCTGCGACCGCCGCTGACGAGACGCGCTGCAATGGCGAGCTGGAATTTCTCTCGGTGAGCCTGGGGCCGCACGATGCGCGGATCTTCTACGGGCCCGACCGACCGTATGCGGTGTATGGGTCGAACTCGCAGCATACGTGTTTTGGACAGTGGGCGTTGGACTTCCGCGTGCTGGTTGACTGGCCGGGCGAGGAGCTGATTCAGACCCCAACGTATCGACACCCGGTCGAGCTCCAGCGACCCCTCCTGACGGGGTACTCTGCGATCGAGAAGAACTGGTTCCTGTTCTGGGACATGCACGGGACGGCATACGTGCATTACGATGTGGCGCCCACGCGGGCCTTCTCGCAGCTGCTGAGTATCGCCGATGGCTCCGTCGGTCCCGATCTGGCAGCCAATGCCGCCCCCATCGATGAGCCCTGCCTGCAGAGGCACTTGCCCCTCCTCACAGACCCGGACCACGAGTCCATCCACCAGGCGACGAACTCCCTGGCGATCACGCTGTGCGAACGCGCAGATCCCAGCTGCCAGCCTAGCGAGGATAACACGTTTGTTTTCATGATCTTCCAGCACAAGAAGTACGTGGCCTTCCACAGTGTGTATGAGCCCTACGTCATGCTGTTCCGCCAGCGGGCGCCGTTCGAGATGTTTGGGGTTTCCACCAAGCCACTCTGGATCCACGGGAGGGGGTCCGCGAGTGTGGGGGTCGAGGAGGACCAACAGCAGTCGGAGATGTTGTATGTGACCTCCATCAGCTGGAAACAGGCGGGCCAGCGCTACCATGGATACATCGACGATGCGGTGTTCTTGGGCTTTGGGCGGGAGGATTCCCATTCGGGAGGCATAGATGTGGTTGCGAGGGATCTGCTCGATGGACTGGGGTATTGCTTCGGTTGAGGTGCTGTGCTGTGCTGTGCTGTTCTGTTCTGTATGATATGAGACAACGATATGCTCTCCAGGGGCGAATAGATTAATTGCTGGACCACTGCATCAGTCCTGATTCATCCTCGCACCGCCAACTAAGCCTTTCCAAGCCTGTGAGTCGTGGCTGGCCTTCAGCCCTACGTCCTGGTTGATGGGGCTGTCATATCCCTGAAACAAGCTTGGTGGTGACCCACTCGTTGCTGGGCGGTTAACGCCCAATGGAACGGAGGCATTTGCAGCCATTGCTGGAGATAGGGCAGTTTCCAAGAGATGATAGCTCCACTATAAACTCGAGAAGAGTGTGATGAACTTCCCAGTGGGCGCTTGCGACAGGCAGCATGATTCAGAGGGAATGTACGGTGAAAAGGCCATACATTAGCGACCCCGACCGCACCTTTATCTCTGCCCTGAGCTCCGATCTCCTGTCTCTGCGGCAAGCATTTTTCGTTCTCATTCACTCCTTTGACCGTTTCTCCATCCTTTTGATCCTCCTCTCGGGGCCATTCTTGTTTTTCAAGGGCTGTGGCTGGACCGCAACCCTGATCTCGTTCTTCTCAGCCAGCCCCAAGCAGGCTCTTGTCTTTCTTTTGTACGTTCGGCCGTCATGGCGGACAGCATGTGGTACGCGTTCCTCAACGACGAGCTCTGCTACGTCTCCCTGTGGACATTTGCATCCTTGATTGCAATCATCTTCATCTGGCAGACCACGCAGCAGCTCACTGCCCATCTCCGGCGACTGGCGACTTTCACCGACCCATCCCAAAAGTTCCATCGGGTCGCTGACCCGCGACTCTCATGGCTCAAGCGGCATGTCCTCTACGCCCCCCTCTGGCGCAATCGGCACAACCGAGAAATGCAGCTTTCTCGTGCGGTCAATATGGGCACACTGCCCAGTCGGTTCCACGCCCTGCTGCTTACCTTCGTTGTCGCCCTGAACGTGATTCTTTGTACCATTACCATCCCCTTTGGCTTGAAGGAGACCACCGTTGCAATGCAGATCCGCAATCGGACCGGATATATGGCGACGGCAAATTTGTTTCCGTTGTTCATCATGGCAGGGCGCAACAACCCGCTGGTCGCGCTGCTGCGGGTCTCGTTCGACACCTGGAACCTCCTGCATCGGTGGCTGGGGCGAATTGTCGTGCTAGAGGCGTTGGCGCATGTGGTGGCGTGGGGGGTGCCCAAGGTGCAGGATTGTATGGCCCCTTCTTCGGTGTGGTGGATTGATGTCTGATATACAGCAGATGGATGGAAGGGGATGCTCGCAACGCTTAGCAAGCCCTTCATGTTCAATGGGTTGA